GCTAGTTTTATTTATCTTAGCACACAAAGACTGATCTAACTTTGAAAGTACCAATGTAATATACATACAAATAGACTTCTTTTTAACTTTTATAGACAATGCTGAGCTCAATAAACAATGGTAGTGCTTCAGTTTCCTGAATGAGAGTCTATGTGTATGTTTCAGTCATGACTGGTAAGCAATAAAAATACAGATCCCCATCCATATATCCCAAAGGTACAAAGAAGTACAGACATCACTGTCCCTCAATCAAAGGTCTGCTGATCTTCCACTACAAATTTTCCTATGGTTGTTTGCGTTCTTAAAAATATCTCTCAGTATTTTCGGCCTTGGGCTAAACAAAACACAGGACAGATTGAAAGCCACTTGTAAATATTGAAAAGTACATTGGGGAATTTTTTTTTTAGTTAGTGTCTCCTCCATTATAGCCTAAAGCCCAGTTGTTCTCCAAGATAAATGGTGTTTCCTGCCACCTCCTTCTCAAATGTAACAAGATTTCAGTTGCAATTTTTTATTCCTCGGGCATGCAACACTTTAGTCTGAAATTTACCTGAAAACATCTAAAACCTGTGAACAAAAATACAATTCATATACATATTAAACCCAACCTTGGTAATATTAATATTAAGGCCAATGCAAAATCAGGATGATTACAACTCTTTCCTAAAAGTTAAGCAACAGAAAACTATACTTTCTTAACTCTAATAAAATATCTGTTCAATTTCCTTTTTCTCATTCATCACTTAAAGGTCCATTTCCAGAAGTAACAAAATCCATTCAATCATTGCTACATATTTACTGATTAGCAAAATTAAGGATCAAGAAATTAACAAGGCAATAAATAAAGATGGATTTGAGTTTAAGGAGAATAAAGAGTTGGGACGCAGAAAACCACGTAAAACTCAGGAGGCTAAATATATAGGCTACTCTGAAATCCCGAGTCCCAGGTTAGGATGGGATGAGAACCTTTTGCCAACTGCTTATTCAGAATATGGGGAAGATGCTAAATTTCAAAGATGAATCCACTTGACTACTGGAATTTGAAAAATTCAAATCACAGGTATGCCATCACACAATGAATAGCAATACCAAGGACCACAGAAGTGTGCCTGCTGTTTACATATTCACTAAAATACAGGTTTAAAATCTATTTTCTTTAATGCAGAGGGTATTTCTTTTCCCATTCTTAAACAAAATGCAGCAAGTGTCCTAGCTTGGAATACCTTTTTTGATGAAGACACAAAGATTTAGATTACTTTCAAACTCCAACTTAACCTTTGCCACTAAATAGCCTTTTCCTGATAATGTCTTTTTCTTCTCACTATTGCACCCTAAGTAGAATCAAAAAATGAAAAGTGAGAGAATAAAAAATTACTCATACCCAAAATGTTAGTTTAAGATGCAATCCTAAGCAATCATTTGAAGGTAAATCTCATAAATTTGTGGGACTTACTTATATAGAACTGGACTCAAATCTAGTTCATATTGGATACTCTTTTCCTCCCCTTTAATCAACCAGCACACCATGCAACTCTTTTCTTTGCCATTTACATTCACCTAGAGGGGCTCATTTTAATTAGTGTTAACGGGAATATTACAATAGTGCCTAATTAAGATCTCTATTAAGAGTCCAAAAATGCAAACTTAATTGGGAGGAGGTTGTAGAGAAAAAATGATGAAAGTTTTACATTTTAATAGATGTAATTATTAATGGGTATATTCAATTAAAATCAATCATTCAGGTATTTTTGAAAACAAAAAAGGAGGGAAAGAGCAAATCTTCAAAGTGGCACATTCTTGTAAGAACTGCCTGCTGTTTAAGATGAATATTAGGAATTTCAGAATACATAAATGTAGATAAATGTATCAGTTGCCATTATTTACCCAATAATTTATTTAGTCGTCCTCAGTACCAGAATATACTGGTATTGAGAATGAAAATATATATATTCCTGCCCTCATTTAAATGTTTGAAAGTGTATGCTATGTGTGTCTGAAGAGTTTTCAGTGGCCCTGAAACAATTTGTTCTGCCTCTTAACTAAGAGTGCATTTATACACACACATAAACAAACCCATGTCAGCTTTTCTATTCGAAGGTGTCATACTCTTAAGAATTACACCCACCCACACATTTAATACGTATCATTCTTTTGCTCTTGCATTTGATTTCTTTTTCCCAAATCCCAGAAAGAAAAACCCACTATTATTTTCAATAGTCTCATCCTCAGTTTTCCACCTTTGAATGACAAAGAATGATGACTTTTGAGATTCAGATGTGAATGCTCCATTTGGGTTTCCAGTTGATCACTGAAAAGAATTGGTTTTAAATCCAGCATGGCTTGAACACTTCCCCGTTATCCTCAGTCCTGAAGTCCAGAGGAAAAGATAGCTGCTTTTCAAGTCATACCTTCTTGTTCTGGTTCTATGCAAAAGGGCTAGTTTAGAATTACAGACACCTACTCAGACACATTATGCCAAGATCCAGCTCTCTGGAAAAGGCTGTAGTACTTGGAAAGATGTAAGGAAAGAGAGGAAGAGGATGATTAACCAGCAACAAAGTGGACGCATCCAGGTGCTATGTGATGAGTGCACTTCTGGGAGACTTGAAAGAGCAGGTTTGGGATAGATCATCAAGGAGAAAATCTATCTATATGGCCACTAGGATTGAAAATGATTTGACGGAAGTCAATCAATCAACCAATCGACGAACTGTATGGTATTACTTTAATCCCTGCTTTACTTAAGATAAAGCATTGAGTTTAAGGCTGAGTTGAAAGTTGAATCCATCTCTCATCTGAGCTATCACTCTTTTCTCTGAATTCAGAGGGAGAGTGCACACTACACATACAGAAGACCAAGGTTCAATCCTTGGCATCTCCAGGTAAAGCAGAAAAAAACTGCCTGAAACCTTGGCGCTGTCAGTTCATAAATATGTCAGTGAACTAATAGAAAACCTCTTATGTCCCGATGCCCACATCCAAGCTGTCTACCTGCAGTCTCTCCTTCATATTGTATCAACCAGTTCAAAACATCTTGATTTTTATCAGCTGATTTACAGGTATATGAATGAGAGTTCCCTCTTTCCCACATTCCATTAAAGGAAAAAGAAATGTAACGACAACGCTGCGCCTAAATCTCCTTTCCCATTTAGCGCTTAGGAACTGTATCTAACAAAACCAAAAGAACAGAGCTTGCTAACTCCTGTATTGATAGCAAACTGGTAAAAGGCGGAGGTGATGGGGAAAAGAAGGGGAGAGAAGGGAAACAAAAGCTCAGGTATGAATTTGCACAATAGAGTAACCTTCAAGCCCCGCTCTTATTTGCTTTTGTGGGTTGGCACTTTCTCAAGTTATCTCTCATTTCCATAGGAGCTACTTTGCTTCAGACTGATTCTATACTTCTAAGGGAAGCTCTTACTGCGAGCTCCCTGCTGAGGTGTAATAATGTGTGTGTGATAACATAAGAGGAAGGGGGGCACCGTTGGGTAATAAATCCCCCCCCCTTCCATTCTCTGGCAATTCAGCTTGGGATGGTGAGGCTGATCTTGCTCTGAGAGATTAGCTCTGTATTGTTATTCTGCACAGCAACCCAACTTCTCTGGGAAGGCTGCAGAAGAAACAATAAAGAGAAGGATTTTGCTGTGCGCTGTTCCCACCCTCCACTCTTTGGAGCCCGTAAGAGCAGGAGGGTAGAAGAAGAGGGTAGAAGAGGAGTGACAACCCCATCCTCCTCGCTAGTTTCTACCCAGATATTTTAATTAAGAAAGTATCGGTCACCAGAACTAAAAGGCAGGTTTTCGCGTTCAGGAACAGCCCGACCACCCGCTACCCTAGACCGTCGAATTAAACCCAGACATATACTCTCTCCCCCAATCTCGGCAGGATCGAAAAGTTGCCCGGGCAGTCCTAAACCTCGGCCAGATTGCTCAAAAGCAAAAGCCCTCCAGAGTTCAATGACACGCGTTCCCAAGAGCGCCGCGCGGCCACCCTAGTTTCCAAGAGGACTGCAGGGGCAGGAGGTCAAATGTCGCGTCCTCCGGCGTCCGGAACGCTTACGCCGCTCCGAACTCCCCCCCCCCGGCCTCTTGCCTTTGAAGAAGAGGAAGAGGGCACCGCTGGGGGAGGACAAGCTGCGGGGCTCATCTCCCCGCCGCACAAGGATCGGAGCCCGCCTCTAGGAGCGCGCGCGCGCGCGCTCGCCATAGCTGGGGAAGGGGGAGGGTTAGCCAAACGTCTGAACGCCTCCCCCGCGAGAAATGAATCATCTCCCCGAGCCAGAAGCATCAGCAGGGGCACCAGCGCCTGGCGTTGGCGGAGCCCCTGCCTCCGCCCGTCCTCGCGCGCCAGGATTTTCCTTGTGGCGCGCAGATTCCGCGTCCCCCAGCCCGAATCGTGCGCGCGCCTCGCCCACCCCCGCTGCACCTAAGGAGAGAGGGAAAGCCAGGCAGACACCCCCCACACACACACACTTCCCACGCAAAGCCCCCTAAAGCAGAGAAGAAGCGGCGAGGTTAAGCCCGGCCGGCCGGCCCCTTTGCCGGAAGCTCCCGGGCAGCCCTCGAGGGTGACTCACGCGGTCTCAGTAGTCCCTGCGATGGGGGTAGGCAAGCGCAGGAGCTCCAAGTCCCTTTGCACTGAGCGACATCTCAGGGGCTGCCCAGCGTCAGAAGGAGGAGGCGGTGGCTACGGCGACCGAGCGCGTGGAGCGAGGCCGGGAAAGACAGGGAAGACGAGCCTCTCCTGCGCTCGGCTCCGGCTCCGGCTCCGGCTTGGCAGGCTGGCAGAACATGCGGCTGCGCCCGAGCCGCCTATAGCCCGGAGCGAGCGAGCGAGAGGAAGGAACGCGCGAACCCGCCCCCGTCGCGGGGGTGGGAGAGCCCTGAAGAGGCCACGTGCGGCAGCACCTGCGGCCGCCTCCCAGCCTGTCCCCCGCCACAAACTTGCGCAGGGAAGGAAGGGCTCCCCAAGCAACCTCTCGCCCTTCTTTGGTGTATCAATTCGGGTCCCCTCCACCTTCCTATCGACACTCAGAGGTACCTGCTTCCTGCAAAGTGAGAATTCCGCCCGGGTCTCCCAAACCTCCTATTCCACCGGTATCTGAGGAGGTAAGTACTTAAAACGCTGGGAAACCCTAATCCGAGTTGCTTCTCTGAGCGGTTTGCAGAGTGGGAACCGTACAGGCACCGGATGGTTCTCAGAATTGTATCAAGTATGGCTCTTGGCAGAAATCCCGGTATACATGATGCATGAATCCAAGTCCTGGTCTTTCCATCCCAAAAGGTTCACTTGCCAGCCATTCTGTCTCCTGATCAACACACCAGAATTCCTAAGTATCTCCCAGCACTTCACCTGAAAATGCACCTGCTTTATGCTGCCTTCCCAAAAACCAGTCAACCAATATTCCATTAGCAACATGCAAATCTAAAGCTGAATTTCCCCAACCGTAGAAGCTAATATACATTTCCCTCCATAAAAGCAGAGTAAAAGTTTAGCACTCATCTACTACTATTACTACAATACACACCCATACATACACCTGTCATTCTCACAAACAGCACTTTGCACCTACCAGCTTAAACATTCTCAAACCAATATAAGATAAGCATCCCTTTCAAGAAACTGTCTCCAGTAGTGCCTAAGTTTCACACTCCTTCATAGTTCTCAGGACTCATTAAAGACAGTCACTTCTTTCTGAAGAAATATGTTGTTCGTTGTCTGTACTAGCCAGGGTTCATGTCTTAGTAAAGGGCGTGCATTTTTCTCCTTTTAAGCCTTGTTCAAACAGTTTCTTACATCAGCTCATCAATTCAATCTGAAAATATATTAATTCCTTTTTCGGCAGGTATCCAAGGATTCCTTCACCTTTTCTAGTGACAATTTTCTTAGCCTCAGGGCTTTCAACTACCCGAAGGTGTAATGCCGGTAGCTGCTTTATCATCCTACACTCTGAAATCATCAGCTAAAGGCTCCCGTCTATATTCACCCATTGTCAGAAATGAACAAACAGAGGGGTTTATGTCACCCTACTTATAAAATGCTTCTTCGGCACTGCTTCCTTTTCAGAAACAATATTATTTTTATTTACTCGTTTTTTTTAAAGGATTGAAATGGGATAATCATCTCCCATATTTACCTATTGTAGCATGGTGTCTGGTTATCTGAAGGACAGCTATCTCCAATTGTTTCTGCCCATCAGGTATGTTCAGGCAGAGTGATTTTACTCCAGGTCCCTTGAATTAAATGTTGCCATCTTGTGGGATCAAGGAAATATGCCTCCTTTGTCATGGATCCTGCCCTCGGGAACAGCATCTCCCTAGAAATACAGACAAGCGCCTATTTTCCTGGGGTTCCAGAAGGCCTTTAAGACCTGGCTCTATTCCCAGGGCTGGGGTTCATAATTTCTTCAGGACAGATGACAAACTTTTAATTTTTCCAGACATTTTAAGCAGAATTTTGGTATTTTCAAATTTTCAAATATTTGGCTTTATTGTGATTTTATTTTTTTTATTTTGTTGATATATATTTGTCATTTCTTATCTAATAATAACAAAGTGATTATACAAATAATAAAGTAAAAAATTCAAATACAACAGTGACATTATTAAAACTACGTAGTTGCCACCACAGAGAAGCACTTGGTATTTATTACCAGCACTATTTAAACATCACTAAGCACAGGAAATTCACAATGAATGACCATAAAGAATGTATTTTGGAGGGGGTGCTTGTAAGGTCTGGGCACTCCTCCCAAAGAATGTTGACTTATGGATATAATGACCGCTACATGGCAGAAAGAGCTGGTTTCTCTTAACTATAAGGCTGTGGTTTCTTGGAATTGTACAGTCCAAATGCAGCTGCTGCATGAGTGCTCTTAAAGGCAGATTTTTAAAAAAAGAGGTATTGATGTTTGAGAAAGACATTCAGTCATATGATGCTCCCAGGCACATTTGCATAATTTATCCAAAATGGTTATTGACCTTTCAACTAACAAGGAATTAATTTTTATCTCTCTTATCTGCCATCTAGTGGTGGTCTGAATTTGTGCAGCTATTGCTGAAAAGCTGAGATTTGACAAATCACTTTCCTGATGCTTATGTCAAATCACACACAGCATATACAGATCTTATATCTAATAGGGTAGAGGGGGGGGGGAAACAGAGCTATATGTTGAAATCTTATATCCATACCAGACTATACAACAGACATGGTAACAAGAAAGCCATATTAGGTCCTTTTCCAACTAACAAACTTCCAACAAACAAAAGACTCATAATTTTTAATCTATAGAGTGAGAAACTTTCTGTGCAGAGGAAACTGGGGAGCCCACAGGTTATAAAAACACTATGCCATTTTATGTTATGTTCTGAGATCTTTGGAAGGGAGTTTCTTTAATTTCCACTTATGGAAAGAAGTAGAAGAATCTACTACTTGATAAGATAGAAAAATGTGGGGTAGACAGAACCACCACCAGATGGATCCGTAGCTGGCTGACCGGCTGTACTCAGCGAGTGGTCCTCAATGGAACTGCATCTATATGGAGGGAAGTGTGTAGTGGGGTGCCTCAGGGCTCTGTTCTGGGCCCAGTGCTCTTCAACATCTTCATCAACGATTTGGATGAAGGGATAGATGGTGAACTCATCAAATTTGCAGATGACACCAAGCTGGCAGGAATAGCCAACACTCCAGAAGACAGGCTTCAGATACAGAAGGATCTGGACAGACTTGAACACTGGGCACTAACTAACAAAATGAAATTCAATGTTGAAAAAAGCAAGGTTCTACATTTAGGCAAGAAAAACCAAATGCACAAGTACAGCATAGGTGGCACCATGCTCAATAGTAGTAACTGTGAGAGGGACCTCGGAGTCCTAGTAGACAATCACTTAAATATGAGCCAGCAGCTGCCAAAAAGGCCAACACAGTGCTAGGCTGCATTAACAGAGGGATAGAATCAAGATCACGCGAAGTATTAATACCACTCTTCAATGCCTTGGTAATGCCACACTTGGAATACTGCATCCAGTTTTGGTCACCACGATGTAAAAAAGATGTTGAGACTCTAAAAAGAGTACAGAGAAGAGCAACAAAGATGATTAGGGGACTGGAGGCTAAAACATATAAGGAACGGTTGCTAGAATTGGGTATGTCTAGTTTAACGAAGAGAAGGACAAGGGGGGACATGATAGCAGTATTCCAACATCTCAGGGGCTGCCATAAAGAAGAGGGAATTAAGCTATTTTCCAAAGCACCTGAAGGCAGGACAAGAAGCAACGGGTGGAAACTAATCAAGGAGATAAGCAACCTAGAACTAAGGAGAAACTTCCTGACAGTGAGAACAATTAATCAGTGGAACAGCTTGCCTCCAGAAGCAGTAAATGCTCCAACACTGGAAGTTTTTAAGAAGAGACTGGACAGCCATTTGTCCGAAATGGTGTAGGGTTTCCTGCCTGAGCAGGGGATTGGACTAGATGACCTCCAAGGTCCCTTCCAACTTTACTACTATTACTATTACTATATTTTGTAATTACAACTTTTTGTTTTGTGACACATCAGCTTTTGAATAACATCCCGAAGAAGATGTGATTGGTGCTGATTCTTTTGGCACTAAATCAAAGCCTTTTGCTAGCATATTAGCAATGGGTCAACATCTGTCTTATGGGGGCAAAATCTGTTGAGAGGATGATGATTGGAAGATGACTACTAAATGGCCAGTCCTATTACTAGATGGGTTAAAGAAGATTGGTCTGCCTGGTCCAGACTGATGGTTCCCAGTTTAATTCGTATGAGAGTGGTAGAGGAGGTTGATTTTACTTCTGTTTTTTATCTTTTTTTCTCTTGCATGTTTTTCCCCATTCTCTCCTTTAGTCAGAGCAGTTTGCCTAGAAGAGTTTTTCATCGATTTTCAATTTTAGTTTCCTGTGTAAATTATCAGAAGAAGACTTAAATCAGGAACAGGGTATTGCAATTGTCAGTAATAATAATATGCTGGATAAACAAAATGGTGGCGAAAACCTGAAGTGTGTGTTGTGGGTTGCCAATGATTTCTTTAGCTATTCCATACTAATTATTTTTGTAATGTATCATCATTCTTATTAGAATGTGAATATATATATGTATTTGAGCCTATTTTCCTTAAAATGTCATTTTCCAAATTCTCTTAAGCTATGTGTTAACATTTTGGAGTTATGATTAATAAGGTACCAGATACCTACTGTCAATTTGCTATGGCACTGTCTGCTATACAGGATCATATATTTATATCATGACCTTGATTAAGAATTCCAATCAACTATCCAATGAATATTTAGTGTTTGAGGCTCAGTAAGTTATAACCATGTCACCATAAGGAAGGTGGCTAAGAAAACACAATGAGTAGTCATTAATACTCAATCATCAACCTCTCTTTTGAAGGTTATGTTGTTATGGAAGCGAGTCCTATTTAATTAAGAATAATATTTATTGTTGTTTTCAAAACATACCAAAGACTTAGGTCGGTGGTGCCGAAGCTATGGCACGGGTGCCAGAGGCAGCACTGGGAGACCTCTCTGTGGGCACACGTGCCGTTGCCCCAGCCTCGTTGCCTCCCCCTGCGACCCCCTCCTCTCCAGCAGCCCCCCCGAAGGAGAGTCGCCCCTGAGCATGGCACATGTGGAGCAATGCAGCCAAGGACATGGCAGCCGGGAGAGTGTAGACAAGACTCTGCCCTCACACCCCATCGTGCAGAGTTGATGCTGCAGGGCTCGGGCAGTGGGCGTGACTGCCATAGTGCTGCTGGGCTGCCTGGGCGATCTGCAGTGGGCCCTGGAGGTGGTGAATGGCCATGTGGGCAGGTGGGGCGGGGGATGGGGCAGGGGGTGGAGTGGGGACGGGGCCAGGTTTTGGGCACTCGGTCTCTAAAAGGTTCGCCATCACTTACTTAGGTAGTCTGTTCAAATTACCATATATACATGCACATAAACTGAGAATTTTACACCTAAAATACAATCCCCAAAATAGGCTTGGCTTATCATCAGATGAGCTTATCCATGAGTATATATCAGGGGTCTTCAAACTTGGCCCTTTTATGACTTGTGGACTTTAACTCCCAGAATTCCTCAGCCAGCAT